TTGAAAGGATAAATTTGACAATTAAAGTTTTATTATCATTGCCAATGATGATGAAGAACGAAATTAAAATGTTGTCAGGGAGACTGTAGAAGATGATAAAAATGCGATATAGAAATGCAAATAGCAAGGCTGATAAGGAATGATAAAGTTTGCTAAACTTATTTGGCATAATTTTGAACAAATGAAAAAAAGAAGAAAGAGCGTAATATGGCTATTAGAGAATGATTGCTTATTTTATTTCAAATATTTTTGTCATTATTATCATTTGTAGTTGATGGCCTACCATACAGTCACGTATGCAAATCTAAAATTTTTTGCTAAATTTTGTTTTTTAATTTTGGAATTATTTTTAATGTGAAAAAAATCTCACTTTTTCGATGTGAAAAAAAAAATCATTGCTATCGTTATGAACAGTAATAATATTCCAAGCATTTCGATGAATTCTATTCCGATTCTTTTTTTATAATTGGAGATGAAATATTGGATTTCTCCACCAATTTTTTTAATTGAAATTTTTAAATCAAAATATTAAATAATTATGCTACTTCAGCTCAAACGTAAAAGCAGAAATTTTATTCGCTTAATTTAACATTTATTCGCTTAATTTGCTCAATTAACATTCGCTTAACCACGCTTAATCACAAAAGATGAATTAATTTTCAGTCTCAGAACTAAAAATTATTGAAAACAATTTTCATTTCATTCCTACTTTCCTTACTAACTTCCTTCAGTTAGTGCTATTATTCAACTGCATAGTAAGTCATTATGCATAAATCCAATCGTATTTGATCGAATTACATTTAAATATATTCAAAATACCTTTAAGTATGTTTGAATTAATTCCACTTAAAAAACTAGATTAGATTGATTTGACTATCTCAGTACTGATTATGCTAGGAAAATCATGTTAATCGAATTACATTTATCGAATACGCTTAAATTGATTCCATTAAATAAATTGAATTAATTGAATTTGAATATGTCGCAATTAATTGTGTCAGTGTTAATTGAATTTGAGGAATATATCGAAAAAATGCATAAATTAAATGAAATCTCATTGTATGCTATTAATGGTAAAATGATGGCAAACTATATTAGGTCATCCTCATTTCGTTACTGTCATTTGAATTTGAATTTTGTTTAACAGGACATGACAGCATCATCCGTATTGAATTACTGTAATGAGTTTGACCTGATTTTAATTTCAAACTTAAAACGGTCATTTAAATAGTTTGTGTGGAAATTTTGCTAGACTTCTGAACTATTTTCAATTTAGATTAATTTAAATTTCTAATATTACTATGGAAAAGAATTTGGTCGTAATATTTCTAATTAATATTAACTAATTGCGTTGATTTATGACAAATGAATAACTTTTTTATGTTTATGAGTTTTGTGAACAGAAAATGTCGTGTATACTTAATCATTATCATACCTTTTGTCATTATCTTTGAAATCATTATCATAACTCATTTAATATGATTCAATAATAATTTACTAAATATTATACTACACGTTATTCTCAATTTGTTAAAAATAAATTCATATGAGAAATTCCCTTGTTTTGTTTCGAATTCCAACATTCTTTTTTTTTGAAAATTATTAATTTCATTTTCAAATCATCACTGTTTTTTGATCGACAAAATACAAATCATAAATAACACTTCTAATTTTATCTGTTCATAGTTTTAAAAAAAAAAAACGGGAATTTTTTTATGATAGTAAAGAAAGGACAAATGAAATACAATGATGAAAGGATATTTTTCATTTCACTAAATTTAATTAATTTACTTATTTTTAGATGATAAAGTTTCACTTCAACAGTATTATTATGCTTCATCGTTGTCGCAACAATTATAAAATCTCCATAATAGCTGTAATAATTATAATATCATTAATCGATTGGTTGAATTTTCCCATTCCTATTTAATTTCGTTTTTTTCCTTTTCATCTATTTTCATCTCGTCGAAACAATGATTTCCTTCATTTTCTCCTCTCATCTTTTCTCACTATTTTTCATTATCTTTTCAATTTTTCTACCTCATTTTATCGATTCAAAACGTTTTCAATCCTTCATTCTCGTCTTCATCTTCCTTCTCTCTTCATCACTCTATATTCTTTTCACTTCAACATTCTGTCCAGTGTTCTCTAACATTTGCACGCTATTTTGATCATACCAATATCATCTATTACTTGTACAATGTGGCAGAATATATTATATAGGTATGACCTCACTATGATCAAAATTCACTTGACCTCTTTCGTTCTTCCATCCCTCTCTCACCCTTCTCTCTTCTTCCTTCTCTATTTTCCTCTCTCTCTCTCTCTCTCTCTCATTCCTGATTCTTACTCTTTCTAAGAGAGAGAGAGAGAGAGAGAGAGAGTGAGAGCGAAGCAGGAAGAGAAGGAGAGGAGCAGTAAGAGACAGAGATTGAGAACAAATAGGAGGGAAAAAAAGACAGAATTTGTTCAATTTGGATGAAAATGTTTACAATGGTGGACAATGTTCGGTGACATTTATTTGCATTTGAGACTGTTACTAACTCAATATAATATATTCTGCCGTATCAAATATATTTTATAAGGAAAAATTCGAAAATATTTGAACTGAAAGTTTAGGATGAAATTTGAGAAGTTAAATGGAATCGATCCCATTCATTCATCTTTTCTCCTCCCACTCTCATACAGAAAGAATGACTTGAAACATCTGTTGATTTGATTTCATCAATTTCCCTCTGTTCTTCATTTCTTCCCCCTTCTCATATCAAAAAATCCTTCCTCTTCTTTTTTTTTTTCTTAACATATTTTTTATTCTCAGTGAATGCTGTGCTCATCTTGGCTTGGTGCCGCATTAAATAATGGTAAATTTTAATTCCAACTTTTTTTTTCTTCTTCATCAAAATTTTATTCTAATTTTTTAGAAAAATTCATTATTAAATATTATGAATTATTTGATAAACGCAATACTTTAAGATTTGCTTATTTTAATTTTTTTAGAATAACCAGATCAATAAGTATTGGAAATGTTTAATGAAAATTTGCTTGTTTAAAAATTGAAAGAAATTTTTATTGTCAACTTTCACATTTATTTGTTGAATTTTCATTCTCTTTAATCGTGATAAAGTTAAGAAATAGTTATGTTGATATTAGCGAATTGGAAATTTTAAGTGGAGATTTTGATTATGAATTTTAAAAATTAAATTAAGGAAATTAACATCCGATAAGCATTTGGTAGTATATCGAAGAATTTTATAAACGTTTAATTAAATGGTGATTTCATAAATATTTAATTAAATTTAGTTATAAATTTCCAAAATAAATGTACAGTTCTACTAATACTTTAATGATCCACTTAATTGTGAAATGCATATTTAAATACGACTTTCACTCATTATTTTAATAATTTAGTTAATTACAAATTTCGAAATGAATGTTTACATGCGAGTTTCATTCAATATTTTAATAATCCAAGGTAAATGTTGTGTGAATGCACTGTAATAACATTTGATTTTCTTTTCTTTTTGCTTATCAGTCCTACAACAGTATTAATTAATGATAAATTAGCTAAACAGTTTAATTGGATAATGAAACAGACATTTATTATTGATGCATTAAATGTTTTAATTAGTTGATAAAGGAGATTAATTAACGTGAACTGACAGATTAATGAAATATTCTAATTAGTTGATGTGTGTCGATAATCTGATTTGCAGCAACTCATTTGACTAAGCACGGGAATCTTGAACCGGTTTAATATCCGGATCACGCATATCTTCCCATCTTGATCTGCTTTATAATGATAATAAATTTATAGGAAAAGAGTTAGTGTGATGGAAATTTCAAATTGCTTCATTTCTTATCTTTTTTGTTATCTGAAAGAATTATTTAATAAATTCGTTAATTAATTATGTTTCTTTTGTTTGCAAAAAAATTGGGAAAAATGAAATTCATAATCAAATCTCCACTTCTTATAGTTGCAACTAAATTCTTATAGTTGCAATTGACAATGAATTTTTATTTAATTTTATAAATTTTTTTCATTCAGACAATTTAACTGAAATCGATAATAATTGTGGAGAAAAGCGGAAATTTTATCTCAAAATAAATAAGTTGAAATTTCAAATTATTGTTTAATATTTAAAAAATAATTTAAAATCAGTGCTAAAAAGGAAAAAAAACAAAAACTTTGCATTTTAAGACATTATCAATAAATTATTTGTAATAAAGCTATTAAACAAATTTTAAGAATGAAACAAATTTAAATCCTTGACTAATTGTTAGCATAAATGAAAACAATCTTAATTATCACTAAATGAAGGGTTTAAAAAGAAAATAAATTAATTGCAGTAAACTTATTGATTAAGTCAAGTTTTAAGAATGGAACAAATTTAGATCTATTGATTAAGCTCTAATTTTATTTTGAATTTTTTCAATTTTAATTTTTTTTAAAATAATTTTCATTTCAAGTACGATTTCGTCGACGTGAAAGTGAAAATCGCAACGAAGAATTGAATTTTGGAATGTCATCACGATGTGTTTCTATCCCCCAATCATTGAATCGAAGCATTTCATGTACCTATGAGAGTGATCAATTTACTGGTGCACGTTCCATGTCATACATCGATGGTTTACCTGAGCCTAATTTATCAAGTAAGTATTTTTATTTCCACTGCTTTTTTCTTCAAAAGCTGGGAGTAATTTCTTTATGGAAGTAATTAATTATAAGTGTATTTATTGTAATTTTCAAAAGCAACATACACTTCTTTGTTACAATATAAATATTTCTTTATTACTGAAATAGCAAATAATCTTTTCTTTGGGTAATTATTGGATGATATTCGATTTTGTTTTTTGTGTCATTCTTCTGTATCATTGCCATGCCGTTATTTCAATCTCTCCATTGTCATTTGATGAATTATAATTCGATATGTACATTTTTTTTTATTTGGATCATATTGAGAATTATTTAAATTTAAATTTTCGATTTTTTGTTGATATTTTTTCCCGCCTGTTGACACAATTTTTGAAATCGAATTTATTGCGAAATAACAGGAATTAATGTTGATAATTCTTGTCTGCTTCTTTCTGCTTTCCATCTAATGTTTAAAGCTTGAATAATTTATAACTTGTAAGCTATCAATACCTCTCAGTAATCGTACAAACTGGGAATAATTCTTAGTAATCGACATCCTTATATGACGATCTATTTAATGCTTAGTAGGTAATGCTTCAAATTACTGGTTTTTAATTCTACCAGAAAAAATTTTCCTCTTGTGCTCTCTATTTAGGGCTCTGTTTAAGAATAGAATGTTGGGCGATAATTCTGTTTTTTCTGTAAATTTTTTTTTTAAATTTACCTTCTTTTCTGCACAAACTTTGCCCTTTAGGTCGTACTCGAACAGCTGTTGTCGGTCCTAATACGGTACATGGAAGTCGGGAAGATTCATTGCATGATTATGGTTCAGTAAATGAAAGAGGTCTGATTTTTCTATGTTTCAAAATTAAAAGAAAACAATTTGTTTTTATTTTGTTAGGCGAAATTTGACTATTGAGGAAATAGAAGTTTTAAAAAAGTGAATACATCATAAGCCTTCTGATGTTTCTTCTTTTAAAACTTTCCTTAATAAATAAAAGATATTTAACTTTTATCTTAAACATTAATCTTTTTTTACATAAAGGAAGTAATTTTGTAGCTTCAATGATCTCTCAATGATTTACATTGTGAAAAAGAGGGAGACGAATAAAAAAAACTTCATTTGCATTATTTTTATGTGAACATCAATATATTTTTCGTTATATTGACATGATATGCAATTTTTTTCATTTTAATATTAGACATAAACACTAAATGAATTTTATCTAAAAAGTAAAATAAAAAAAAGACATTAACATTTAAGTGACTGTAAACTTTTAAATACAATTATTATTTTTTGGATCACAAAATATATCACTTACATGCATGATTGCTTAAAAACTTCAGGATTTTAATGCATAAAAAATAGTATATATTAACAAAGAGTACAAAAAAATACTAGAACATGATATACATTTTCATAATATTAATGTTATGTCATCGTTTCGCACACAATAAAATAGTTACTAAATTTTGAATTAGCGAGATTTTTTTTGCACTATACATTTCAGGTGATGTGCGAGCATATTACAGCAGTGATATCACCCGAGCATATACATCACCTCCTACACCGATATCCCTATACGATTGTGGTGATCCACCACCTTATTATAATCATAGGCGAAACACTCAACCGGAAGACGGTATTATTTTTATTGTTTGTTATTTTTAAGCTAACTGAAATCTGAAATTTGAATTTTTTTTTCATTTAGATCTTTTAATTGGTCAAACATCTATCAATTTTTAATTTTTGCATTATGTGCATTAATCGTTGGTCTATATGGACAAGAAATGAATAATTTAAATTTTTAAATAAAGTGTAATTTTTCATTCTAAAGAGTTTAGGGAATTGGTGAAAATTTATCTTCAAAGATGACACTGTTGATTGTCATTTTATGGAGTACTTCTTATTTTTCTTTTCATTT